TGGTTATACCAAATAGACACGTTGTTGTTCATGCCACCACCACCAACTTTGGGCCAAAATGCAACGCCTGCAGCAAAAAAAACCAGTAGGGCAAAAAAGACCCTTCACCAGTATATCCAACAGATGAAACCTAAAAGACGTCGAATTTTTAAAGGACCAGGGACAAAAAAATGAAAATCAATTATAAGCATATATATATATAAGCTATATCAAAATCTAATCCGATTTGAACTAAACTTGACACACGTTATGTTATAGTAACTTCAGTACGTAGAGCAAATTGTTGTGCCTATTGGACTCACAATGGTAAAGCATTTAAAACCAACTTCTAGGTTATTCTAACTCCAGTACGTTGTGAAAAGTTTGTGTCAATTTTGTGTAAAATCGGACGACACCGTTTACATTAAATCGGACGAAAATATATATGGGAGCTATATCTAAATCTGAACCGATTTTTTCGAAACTTAGCACACATCGTTCTGGACCTCATTCAGTACTCTGTGCCAAATTTCATGCAAATCGAAAGATATAGAGGGACTTTGGTGCACCATTTACCTTAAATCGGACGAAAATATATATGAGAGCTATATCTAAATCTGAACCGATTTTCTCGAAACTTAGCACACATCATTCTGGACCTTATTCAGTACTCTGTGCCAAATTTCATGCAAATCGAAAGATATAGAGGGACTTTGGTGCACCATTTACCTTAAATCGGACGAAACTATATATGGGAGCTATATCTAAATCTGAAATGTTTTCTCGAAACTTGGCACACATCATTCTGGACCTAATTCAGTACTCTGTGCCAAATTTCATGCAAATCGAAAGATATAGATGGACTTTGGTGCCCCATTTACCTTAAATCGGACGAAACTATATATGGGAGCTATATCTAAATTTGAACCGATTTTCTCGAAACTTGGCACACATCATTTTAGACTTAATTCAGTACGCTATACCGAAATTCGTGCAAATCGAATGATTTTCAGGCACTAAAGTCCGTAAATCGGACAAAAATATAAATGGGAGCTATATCTAAATCTGAACCGATTTTTCCCAATTTCAATAGGGTTCGTCCTTGGGCCAAATAAATGAGCTGTGCCAAATGTCAGCCAAATCGGATTATAAATGCGACCTGTACTTTGTTTACAATTTAACATCAACAGACGGACGGACATGCATAAATCGACTCAGAAAGTGATTCTATGCATATTCTCAAAAGGAACCATGGGTCTATCTCGATTCCTTTTGCCTATTACAAACATATGCACAAAGACATAATACCCTGTACCACAGTGTGGTGAAGGGTATAAAAAGACTGACAGAATTGGAGAATTGCATCAGTGAACCAATTTTACCCTTCAATGCCTTACAACAGGATTAGTTTTTCAAAATGCAACGTTTCCGTTTGTATACATGTGAGGGTGTGTGTTCGTTTGAGTATATGTTGTGTAAACGAGTGTCATACATGCACATCACCCAGAGCATGAAAACCTCACTGAATGTTGGTTACATTCTTCCATGGGATTGAATTCATTTGTTGTTGTTGTTGCTGCTGCTGCTGTTGTTGGCTGTTGTAAAACACAGAGGCACGTTTTGAAATGATGAAATTTTATGGAATTTTTAATAAATTGTTTGACTTCACTTAACAAACAGATGAGTGTCTACATATGTAGGGATGGATGTATGGATGCTGTGTACACGTATTTACAAGTCAAGGTCATGGCGAACAATTTGTTAGCAATTTAGGTTAATCGTTGAGGGTACAAAGGCGAAATACATTGGATGCCAATAATCCGACTCCTTGCAATTATATTGCGGTAAATCAAAGACTTTACGTATTTTTTAATAAATTGTTTTCAGGGTCTTTAAGAAGCGTCAGTTTTTTTAAAGCATATTTTTCCTGGGACCAATAAGTATTTTTCAAAGCTTACAACAGGCGTGACTTTTTAACGAATATTTTTCACAACTTAAAAGATGCGTTAATTTTTTTAAGGCCCAATAGGGCGTAGATTTATTAAAGAAAATATTTTCAAGAACCAAATCTAGGCCCTGCAAAAATATTCCTTAAAAAATCAAACGGAAATTTTCAAAGCGAACAGCGCTATATTTCGCCCTCTAGTGTGGTAATGGGTAACTAAATAATATCTGAATACGTAAGCACCTGTAAATATTTAAGTGTAACTCGCACATCCGAGTACATACGAATATATAATTGCTATAATAAGGCCAGCCACTCCTCTTGGATTTGCTTTTAACTTCTCGGGTCTACGTCCTTCAGGGTTAAATATATACGCCGTAGAATACAAATTTTGTAATTTTTCACACAAAAGTTAGGGTACATTTGACCCGCTACATTTTGACCGATCTTTATCAAAACAGACATGCTTATTTTTTGGCCCGATCCCCTTCTCCATGTAAAAATTCGCGATTTCTGGAGCGACCAGAAAATCAGACAAAAATAAAGCTGTTGGTCCATTTCAACCCCCTAAATATTAAGCCCATCCTACATGCAAAATTTCGTGAAGATTGATCCATAACTGTGGCCTGTATTGTGTTTACAAATTATAATGGACAGACGGACGTACACACATGTCTAGATCGACTCAGCTAGTCGAGATATGACGATCGGTATACTTAAAGGTGGGTCTAGGACCAATATTTCGCGGCGTTACAAACTCTTGGGGCTGCACAAAGCTATAATACACTGTGTAGGGTATAAATATATTCCTTAAAACAATCAACGCATATTCAGGGCCCTAAAAAAATATTCCTTAAAAAATCAACACCATTTCTAGGCCTTGAAAACAATTTAATTTTTAAATCTAGAAATAATTTAGGCCCTGCCTTCCTTATGCCCTGAGAAAATATGCCTTAAAAGATCAACGCATATTCTAGGCTCTAAAAATTTTTTTCTTAAAAAAATCCACGCCTAGAAAAGGCGTTCAAGGATTTATTTTTAAAAAATTCCAAACTTTAAGAAATATTCGTTAAAAAATCCTTGCCTTTTGCAGGCCTTAAAAATCCTCGCCTTTTGGAGACCGTAAATAATCCTCGCCTTTTGGAGACCTTAAATAATCCACGCCTTTTGGAGACCTTAAAAATCCTCGCCTTTTGGAGACCTTAAATAATCCACGTCTTTTGGAGGCCTTAAACATTTTTCGCCTTTTGGAGGCCTTAAAAATCCTCGCCTTTTGGAGGTCGTAAAAAATATTCTTTAATAAATCCACGCCTTTTTGAGGTCTTGGATAATATTCCTATAGGTCTTGGAAAAATATCCACGCCTCCTACAGGCCTTGGAAAAATATTCTTTACTAAATCCACGTCTCCTATAGGCCTTGGAAAAATATCCACGCCTCCTATATACCTTGGAAAAATATCCACGCCTCCTACAGGCCTTGGAAAAATATTCTTTAATAAATCCACGTCTCCTATAGGCCTTGGAAAAATATCCGCGCCTCCTACAGGCCTTGGAAAAATATTCTTTATCCACAAAATATCCACACCTATAGGCCTTGGAAAATTATCCACTCCTCCTATAGGCCTTGGAAAAAATCCACACCTATATGCTTTGGAAACTTATCCACACCTCCTATAGGCCTTGGAGAAATATCCACACCTATAGGCCTTGGAAAAATATTCTCCAATAAATATACGCCTTGGAAAAATATTCTCCAATAAATATACGTCTCCTATAGGCCTTGGAAAAATATCCACGCCTGAAATAGGCCTTGGAAAAATATCCACGCCTGAAATAGGCCTTGGAAAAATATCCACGCCTGAAATAGGCCTTGGAAAAATATCCACGCCTGAAATAGGCCTTGGAAAAATATCCACGCCTGAAATAGGCCTTGGAAAAATATCCACGCCTGAAATAGGCCTTGGAAAAATATCCACGCCTGAAATAGGCCTTGGAAAAATATTCACGCCTGAAATAGGCCTTGGAAAAATATCCACGCCTGAAATAGGCCTTGGAAAAATATCCACGCCTCAAATAGGCCTTGGAAAAATATTCTTTAATAAATCCACGCTTCAAATAGGCAAAATTTTCTTTAATAAATCTACGCCTGTGGAAGGCCTTGGAAAAATATTCATTAATAAATACATGGCTTTGGAAGGCCTTGGAAAACTATTCATTAATAAATCCACGCCTTTGGTAGTTCTTGAAAAAAGTCTTCTTTTATAAATCCACGCATCTTGTCGGCCTTGAAAAATATTATTTAATAAATTCACGCCTCAAACAAGCCTTGGAAAATTTTTCTTTAATAAATTCACACCTACAATAGGCCTTGAAAAAATAATCTTTAATAAATCCGCACCTCCTATATATATTTCTCACCTTTTTTGCCTAAACTTGTCCTTCAAGAATTATTCTTCAAAAAATATTTATCATTCCCTTCATTTTTTGACATTCCTTAATTGTTCCTCCTTTTGAAAATATGCTCTCACTCTTTTCACTGATTGTCGAGCATGCTGTTTTTTGGCAATGTCACAGGGCAACAAATCCGCACACTTACACACCCGGCACGATATCCTTAGTAAAGTTACCAAACAAGGATTAAATTTCAATTAACAAAACTGCATTGCATGCTGGAAAAATCCACACTCCCCTGACCCCCAACCAAATGCAGAATCAGCAAATGTGAGGCCAATAGAATAAAGCTGGTGCATCAGAGCTACAAACACCCCGCAGCATTAACAGCTGAACAAGGCAACAAAACATGACAAAAAAATAGATAGAAGCACAGATACAGCCTCGAGTTGCGAACATGTAAAACAGCCTGTCAGCCAGGCAGAAAAACTAAAATCAAATAAATTTTTAATTGAAAGCAATTAAAGGCAGCAAACAACAAAATTTCATTTAAAAATTGCATTGCTTTAGAATTGCAATTAAAGATTTTGGTGTACAACAAATTTATAATCCATTTTATTTTTTTCTTCTTCTTTTTTTCTTGGTATTTTTAAATAAAAAAAAATCTTTACTCACCCAAAACCAGAGCTGCTACCATAGTTTTAAAGGAGAACAATTGCCATCTGTTGCGCGTGGATAAGGAGCACTTTAATCGCATCTTACGTGACGTCGAGGCAAATACTTTAAGACTCCAGGAACATGGCAAGGATGTTTTAGTATTGGAACGTGTGGCAAAACAACGGGGACAACATTCAGCATTCAAGTAAGTTAAATGGAGGGAAACTTAAACCTCCACACTCTCCCCTAACAAAACCATACTCTCAACAAATACTATGTGACACAACTAATTCCAGGCATTCCATGGCACTCAGACATGCCTTGAGGTGTCTTCGGCATTGTTTTCTTTTTTTGCCAAGAACTTTAAATTTAAAAATGATGGATTTTCTTTGTCCTGCCTCTCCCCCCAATAATTTTTATTCTTAAAGAATTTTTAAATTTTGTATCTCTTTTTGTTTCTTCTTCTCTACTTCGATTTTTTTCTTTCAGATACACTGTCATGTCGGGTACACCATCAAAAATGTTGGAACATTTATTAGAGACACGCTTGGGTGGACAAATTAGTGGCGTCGATCCATTCTTGGATGATTTCCTGTTAACACACATCGTTTTTATGCCAGTGGTCCAGCTGGTGGATGAATTGGCTAATTAATATCCTTTTTAAAACTGACAACAAAAACAACAACAACAAGAAACAACATTTCATGAAAACATGAAAATTAATTGAAAAGAGGGGGAAATTTGTTGGAAAATTGTGCTATTTTTGACATCGAATAGACAGGAATTAAATTTCAAAAAATTAACCAAAAATTATAAAAAAAATCCACGCCTCATATAGGTCCAGGAAAAAGATTCTTAAAAAATCCTGGCCTAATAAAACCCCTCCTCATATAGGCCTTGGAAAAATATTCTTTAAAAATCCCGTCCTAATAAATCCACGCCTTATATAGGCCCATGAAAAATATTCATTAAAAATCCCGGCCTAATAAATCCAATCCTCATATAGCCCTTGGAAAAATATTCTTTAAAAATCCTGGCCTAATAAATCCACCCTTCATATAGGCCTTGGAAAAATATTCTTTAATAAATCCACGCCTTATGTAGGCCCATGAAAAATATTCTTTAAAAATCCGGGCCTAATAAATTCACTCCTCATATAGGCCTTGGAAAAATATTCTTTAATAAATCCACGCCTCATATAGGTCCATGAAAAATATTCTTTAAAAATCCTGGCCTAATAAATCCACGCCTTATATAGGCCCATGAAAAATATTCTTTAAAAATCTCGGCCTAATAAATCCACTCCTCATATAGGTCTTGGAAAAATATTCTTTAATAAATCCACGCCTCATATAGGCCCTTGAAAAATATTCTTTAAAAATCCTGGCCTAATAAATCCACTCCTCATATAGGCCCTTGAAAAATATTCTTTAATAAATCCACGCCTCATATAGGCCCATGAAAAATATTCTTTAAAAATCCTGGCCTAATAAATCCTCTCCCCATATAGGCCTTGAAAAAATATTCTTTAAAAATCCTGGCCTAATAAATCCACTCCTCATATAGGCCTTGGAAAAATATTCTTTAATAAATCCACGCCTCATATAGGCCCATGAAAAATATTCTTTAAAAATCCCGGTCTAATAAATTCACATCGCCTGTTCTAGGCCTTGGAAATATATTCTTTAAAAATCCACGCCTTATATAGGCCCAGAAAGAATATTTTTTAAAAAGTCCACGCGTTCTCCAAGCATCGATAAATTACTTACTTTCTTAGCTGGCTTGTGACAGAACTTTTGTTCCATAAGCCGAGCTTAAAAAAAGATTTCCAGGCGCGTCGGTCTTTTGCGCAGTTTTTCCAATTTGAAAGACCATATTCGGCAATGTTGTCTTCCACTTGGTCTTTCCATCATATTCGGGGCCTTCCCCTTCTGCGTGAACCATCAACTGGTTCGCTTTTATATGCCTTCTAGGCTGGGGCATCTTCATCCATTCTTACAACATGACATAACCAACGTAGTCGCTGCAGCTCAATACGTTTAACATCGATGTTCGAGAAAAGCTAGTACAACTCATGGTTCATTCGACGGCGATATTCACCGTCAACGCATATCGTCCCATAGATCTTTCGAAGAAATTTTCTCTCAAAAACTCCAAGAGCTGCATCATCTGCTTGCGCTTTCAGAGCCATATAACAGCACGGGTAGTATCAGCGTCTTGTAGCGTGTGAGTTTGGTCTGGCGGGAGGTGGCCTTGCTTTTGAGTTGTTTGCTCAGACCATAGTAGCATCTGTTGGCCAACACTATCCTTCTCCGAATTTCAAAACTGATGTCATTCGTTTTGGCGTTATGGCGGTACCAAGGTATATAAAATCTTTGACTACCTCGAAGCTGTAGTTCTCAAGTTCCACAGTTGGTCCGAGTCTACTGGACGTTTTGCGCGTTGATACCATCAGCTTGGTCTTTTCGCCGTTTACAGCCAGGACCACTTTGGCAGACTCCTTCGCAATTTGTTCAAAGGTGGGTAACAGCCATTTCATTGTTCGACCCGTTATGTCGATGTCATCGGCGTAGGCGGGTAAGATTGAAAAATTAATCTTAAAAAATCAAGGTCTCCAATGTTCCTTGAAAAATAATCTTAAAAAATCCACGCATCCTATAGGCCTTGAAAATTAATCTTTAAAAAATTTTCGCATTCTATAGGTCTTGGAAATTTATCGTTAAAAAAATCAACGCATCTTATAGGTCCGGAAAAATATTCTTTAAAAAATCCACACTTCTTGTGTCCCCCAAAAATATTGTTTATAAATCCATACGTCTTGTGGACCCTAAAATATTTAAAAATCCACACCTGTTGTGGGCTTTAAAAATATTCTTTAAAAAATCTACCACACCAATAGACCTTTACTAAATTCTTAAAAAAATCGACGCCTTCTATAGACCTTGAAAATTTCATCCTTAACACATTTACGGCTTGAAAAATATTATTTAAAAAATCCACGCCTATCTAAGAGCCTTAAATTGTTCTTTAATGAATTCATGCTTGTAGTCCGTTGTCTTTGGCCCTTCCTTTAAAAATCCTGACTCTTTAGCAATTATCCCACTATCATTATCCCAGAATTCGGTATTATTTTCTCCATGTCGATACTCCAAATGCAATCATGTCCTCTGCCAAAAATACCCTTCTGATTATTTAATAAATTGTGGCGGGAGACCAAAAGAAATGAAACACTTTCCCATTTCTACGTCCTGGTGACAAAAGTATCACTTAAGTGTTCCCTTTATATTCTTCGTTGTCACATCGTATTGTAATTGCGTGGCCAGCAACGAAACTTGAAACTCTTACAATCTTGTCAGCATTTGTGACCCAACCGAACCAACCGACCAACCAACCGAACCCCCAAAAAAATGGCAACAATGTCCCCAGCACGTACAAGTATCATATTGACTATGGTCCCCCCAACTCTCTATGCATGTGGTAATGTGTGTGTGTGTTTTCTTTTTGAAACAATGATGTTACCGATGATACTGCCAGCGCTTGAGGGACCTGGTGTATCTTCTCTATTTTGTATGGCTGTCACTTAAAATGGTGGTAAACGAAATCCATTCTAAGAAAATGTTCGTTCACCAGAAGGTCGTAACAATGGCCAGTAAGTGAGTGCAACAATGTTTTTGCATTCCCCCACCCCATCGGCCAGAGAAATGTTTGCTTTCTCAGCATAGAGATTATGGTTTAAGCCCCCGGAGGCGGGATAAGATCATAAAATGTTTGTCGCACATCTGTTCCCAGTGTGTGTGACAAGTGTTGTTGACGCACTTTGAATATTTAATTTTTGATTGTGGTCAGTTTTCTCTTTAGGGGAGGAGACTAACGAACAAAATATGACTTTAATTTCTGAGAGGTTATGTTAATACCGAACATAGATTATGGCCACAAAAAGGAATAACTGAAATGGTTACATTGGAATTAAAGAAAAATTTAAATTGAATATTAAAAAAATATTCTTTAAAAACCCACACCTTTTTGAGGCATTGAATATTTTATCAAGGCCCATATGAGGCGTAGATCTAAAAAAAATCCTGGACCTCCAAAAGGCGTAGATTTTTTAAGAATATTATTTCATGGTCCATATGAAGGATTTTTGGATCTAACGGACAAAATATGCCTTTAATATCTGAGAGTTATGCTCAAATGAGGCGTATATTATTATAGATTTTTTCAAGGCCCCATATAGGCGTAGATTTATTATAAGAGACTCCACAAGGCGTGGATTTAAAATATTTTTTTTAATCTCTGAGAGGTTATGTTTATACCGAACCATTTGGCGTATATTTATTAAAGATTTTTTCAAGGCCTCCACAAGGCGTGGATTTATTAAAGAATTTTTTTCAAGGCCTCCACAAGGCGTGGATTTATTAAAGAATTTTTTTCAAGGCCTCCACAAGGCGTGGATTTATTAAAGAATTTTAAAATTTCCCTCTCTTATCGTTCTATACATATCATATTGCTCATCATTTTTATGGTATCCTTAACCACCTGTGCACTTTTCATTGTGATTCGCATGATGGATCGCATACACCCGAGGAACGGGACTATATTATTAATTTCAAGAAACGCGTCATACAATTCATGCAAAAATGGGTGATGGCAGTGCGGCATGCTGCATTCGATGAGCCCAGTGTCTGTGATTTTATTGAAGATCTAGCCGCCGAAGTGGAAGCGGATCCCGAACTGCAGGAAGAGACCAGTATTATACACAACATTCTAACGCAAATGGCACGCTATCAGGATGATCGAAATCAAAATGCTGGCCAAAAGTGGAAACTGCCGCCAAATGGTCAGCCCATCTGTTTGTTTAGTGGTAACATAACACCATCGAAGACCGTGATACGACCGGATGACGACAGTGAGTATTTGTGAATTTCGATTTCCGGATTCTGTGAACTAACCTCGTTGCTACCAGTTAAGCTCATAAATATTTTGATAGCATACAAAATCCCGTTTCAATTCCATCAATAATTCAATGTCCGTATCTTTTTTGTTATCCACTTTCCATGTATTTGCCGTTCGGTTGCTGTTGTTGTGATTATTCTCCCCCCACACGCAGTAATTTTTCGGGTATACTGTGCCGACCACACCTACTGCACACTGCGTTTCCCATTGCACACAACTGCGGAAATAATTAAAGCCTGTGCTGCGGACAAATTGCAATTGAATCGTGGCCCCGAGGATTTATGCCTGGTCGAAGTGAAATCGAATGGCGAACGTTCCGTGTTCAAGGATAACGATGTCAGTATACCCACTGGTTTAAGCTTAAATGGACGGCTCTTTGTCTCTGTTAAGGATCACATAGATGGCCTGGTAGGTTCCCCATTTCTTTGTGTGTTTCGTTGTGGCTGTCATTTGTGCCTGCCATAGCTGCAGGATAGTGGCATTCGGCTACTGTTCTTTGGTGTCACAATGGCATGCAAATGGCTTTTTGATTGAAATTTAATGTCCATTGCCCGGACACGGTTGTCACGGTTTGTTTTGTCCATTTCTTTTTGTTTATAGACTCCTTTGCCCGAACAGGAGGGACCCACCGAAGGCATCGACATGGACTTGGAAATGCTCAGCACCAAAGAGCTGGCCTATCACATTACCATATTCGATTGGGATCTCTTTTGGGCCGTACATGAATATGAGCTGCTCTATCACACTTTTGGACGTCATCATTTTGGCAAGGTAAGCCGGGGGAACTTGGTTATTGAGTTATTAAATTTTATTGAAAATTAAGAGGGAAGGGGGACTATTTATTTATTATTAAACCCAAGGGAATTAAACAAATAAATAATATAAACATTCAATATTATTATTTAAACAAACAAATACCAGAAACCTAAAAAAAGTGTTCTTCAATACAAAAACCGAAAATCGTGGACCCCGAAAATGTTTTTCAAAAAACTTAAAAATATAATATATAATAAATATATAAAAACTAAAAAATATCCAAGCCTCTGATAGTCCACGCCTCTTTTGGTCCCTGAAAAAAATATTTTTTATAAATTCAGGCCTCTGATAGTCCACTCCTCTTTTACTCCCTGAAATAAATATATTTTTTTATAAATTCAGGCCTCTGATAGTCCACGCCTCTTTTGGCCCTTGAAAAAAATATATTTTTTTATAAATTCAGGCCTCTGATAGTCCACGCCTCTTTTGGCCCTTGAAAAAAATATATTTTTTTATAAATCCAGGCATCTGATAGGCCTCGCCTCTTTTAGTCCCTTAAATTTTTTTTTTTAAATCCAGGCCTCTGATAGGCCTCGCCTCTTTTAGTCCCTTAATTTTTTTTTTTAAATCCAGGCCTCTGTTAATCCTCGCCTCTTTTGGTCCCTGAAAACATATTCTTTAAAGAATCCACGCCTCTTTTGGTCCCTGAAAAAATATTCTTTAAAAAATCCACGCCTCTTTTGGTCCCTGAAAAAAAATATTCTTTAAAAAATCCACGTCTCTTTTGGTCCCTGAAAACATATTCTTTAAAAAAATCCACGCCTTTTTTGGTCCCTGAAAAAATATTCTTTAAAGAATCCACGCCTCTTTTGGTCCCTGAAAAAATATTCTTTAAAGAATCCACGCCTCTTTTGGTCCCTGAAAAAATATTCTTTAAAGAATCCACGCCTCTTTTGGTCCCTGAAAAAATATTCTTTAAAGAATCCACGCCTCTTTTGGTCCCTGAAAAAATATTCTTTAAAGAATCCACGCCTCTTTTGGTCCCTGAAAAAATATTCTTTAAATAATCCACGCCTCTTTTGGTCCCTGAAAACATATTCTTTAAAAAATCCACGCCTCTTTTGGTCCCTGATAACATATTCTTTAAAAAAGAAAACTGAAAAAAATATTCCTTAAAAACCACGCCTCTGTTGGTCCCTGAAAAAAATACTCTGAGGGTCCTGCCTACATCTTTCTCCCATTGTGGCTTTTATTTTCCTTTACCAATAAAAATAAATTGCTCATTGGTGAATTGTGCAAAATACACCGTTTTTTGTTTTTAGCCATAAAAACAATTAATTTAATAGTTTTGAACATGAAAATAACTGTTCATTTATGGACAATTGATACAACAAAAATAACAACGAAGAGAAAGCAGAACCTAACTAACGCAATAGCAATTATTAGTTATTGGACAGTGGGATATTGGTATGACGAATTAATTCAAATAACCCATATATAGCGGCTTCTCATATATGGTTCCCACCCAAAAATGACCTAAGTCAACTTTTGAAAAATTTGATTTTTTATAAATAATCATAATTTTGGTCCTTCGTCATACCCCTACCCTCCTGTATTTATATATTTTCCATTAGAGAGTTTTATTTGTAATATAAAAAAATAATAAACATATAAACACACATACTAAAATAAAATATTCCAATTGGAATTTCTAGCCAGGATATCGTGTGGTAAGTTCAATTAAAACGTATAAAAAAAAACAAAAAACCAAACTGTTTTTGTCAGTGTGTGAGTGTGCTCCCGCTGCTATACGCATACATATAGAAAATGTCAAATGCAACAACAAACACCACCACTAACTGCCATATATAACCGCTGTTATTGCCAAAATGCCCCATAGAACCTGACGGAAACAAAAAAAACTACAGCTTCCCAAAAACGACAAAAACAACAACAACAAAGAACAATCATGACCAACAAACAAATCCATTTGAATGCTTAATTAAAATCGTTTGTATTTGTGAAGTTGTCGTTGTCGCTGTTATTTTGCGAGTGTATTCGTGTGCGTTTTTTGAGCGTTCCATTTGTGTGCAAGAATGTGTGTGTGTGTGTATTTGTGTTATTTTAGCTGTTCGTTGATTCCTTTGTATTTGTTTTTTTCTGGCCGTTAGATTTGATGGGAAAAACTAAGCGAAAAATCGGAAATTGAAATGATTGTAAATCTGAAACTTATTTGAGGATTGAAAAGAAAAAAAAATATTCTTTAACAAATCCACGCCTGTTCTAGGCCTTGAAAAATATTCTTTAACAAATCCACGCCTGTTCTAGGCCTTGAAAAATATTCTTTAACAAATCCACGCCTGTTCTAGGCCTTGAAAAATATTCTTTAAGAAATCCACGCCTGTTCTAGGCCTTGAAAAATGTTAATAAATCCACGCCTCAGTTGGCCTTTAAAAATATTCTTTAATAAATCCACGCCTCAGTTGCCCCTTGAAAAATATTCTTTAATAAATCCACGCCTTTAATAAATCCACGCCTCATACAGGCCTTGAAAAATATTCTTTAACAAATCCACGCCTCATACAAGCCTTGAAAAATATTCTTTAATAAATCCACGCCTCATACAGGCCTTGAAAAATATTCTTTAATAAATCCACGCCTCATACAGGCCTTGAAAAATATTCTTTAATAAATCCACGCCTCATACAGGCCTTGAAAAATATTCTTTAATAAATGCACGCCTCATACAGGCCTTGAAAAATATTCTTTAATAAATGCACGCCTTGAAAAATATTCTTTAATAAATGCACGCCTCATTGGCCCTTGAAAAATATTCTTTAATAAATGCACGCCTCAGTTGGCCCTTGAAAAATATTCTTTAATAAATGCACGCCTCATACAGGCCTTGAAAAATATTCTTTAATAAATCCACGCCTCATACAGGCCTTGAAAAATAGTCTTTAATAAATCCACGCCTGTTCTAGGCCTTGAAAAATATTCTTTAATAAATCCACGCCTGTTCTAGGCCTTGAAAAATATTCTTTAATAAATCCACGCCTGTTCTAGGCCTTGAAAAATATTCTTTTAAAAATCCACGCCTGTTCTAGGCCTTGAAAAATATTCTTTTAAAAATCCACGCCTGTTCTAGGCCTTGAAAAATATTCTTTTAAAAATCCACGCCTGTTCTAGGCCTTGAAAAATATTCTTTAATAAATCCACGCCTGTTCTAGGCCTTGAAAAATATTCTTTAATAAATCTACGCCTGTTCTAGGCCTTGAAAAATATTCTTTAATAAATCCACGCCTGTTCTAGGCCTTGAAAAATATTCTTTAATAAATCCACGCCTGTTCTAGGCCTTGAAAAATATTATTTTATAAATCCACGCCTGTTCTAGGCCTTGAAAAATATTCTTTAATAAATCCACGCCTGTTCTAGGCCTTGAAAAATATTCTTTAATAAATCCACGCCTGTTCTAGGCCTTGAAAAAAATCTTCTTTGAAGAATCCACTCCTATTCTAGGCTTACAAAACGTTTGAAAACAATGTCTTTGATAAATCCACGCCTGTTCTAGGCCTTGAAAAATATTCTTTAATAAATCCACGCCTGTTCTAGGCCTTGAAAAATATTCTTTAATAAATCCACGCCTGTTCTAGGCCTTGAAAAATATTCTTTAATAAATCCACGCCTATTCTAGGCCTTGAAAAATATTCTTTAATAAATCCACGCCTGTTCTAGGCCTTGAAAAATATTCTTTAATAAATCCACGCCTGTTCTAGGCCTTGAAAAATATTCTTTAATAAATCCACGCCTCATACAGGCCTTGAAAAATATTCTTTAATAAATCCACGCCTCATACAGGCCTTGAAAAATATTCTTTAATAAATCCACGCCTCATACAGGCCCTTCAGAAATATTCTTTAATAAATCCACGCCTCAGTTGGCCCTTGAAAAATATTCTTTAATAAATCCACGCCTCAGTTGGCCCTTGATAAATATTCTTTAATAAATATTTAAAAAACTACTTCTCCCCTTCTTTCATTTTACGATTATCTTGCCTCCAGCGAAACGATTAGCCATATTCATTTTAGTTTTCAAACTTTTTTTCTGAAAATTTCAACACCATTCAAATTTAGAAAAAAAAATAAAACTTTTTAGTTTTTTTTAACATTTTTCAATAGCCCTCCACAACAACAACAACAAACAAATTTTGTATCATATCAATTTGTATACTTCAATTTCATTTCTATTCAATTTTAATACTCTTCAATTTTTCCACAATAAATTCCATTGAGTTAAAAAAAAAATGTATTGAAGTGGAAAAAATTAGGAGGTGGCAGAAAAAAGAAACACCGACAACAAAAAAATTGAAAACTTTTCAAACTTGTTCCATGCAATTTATGAACAAGAAGTTTTTATGCAAAAAATCTACTGGGGAAAGGGGTTTGCGAAAAAAAATACACGCCTGTACCAATGTTTGTGTGTATGTTTGTATTTGCTTATTTGGTTTTCCCCTCACATTATCATCTGTTTTCCTCACTGTTCGCAGATGTGGAATGCAATGGATGAATTTGAATGAATGTTGCCAGGATACATATTTACGTGATTTTCCTTTCATTGTTTGGTAAATTGGTCCAATATAAACTTATTCGAAATGCATCACAATCACACGCACCTACCCAACCAGGGAGTGGGAGAGAGGGTAATGTCGGAAAAGTCCCTGAAATGTTATGAAATTCCCAAATGTTTCCTTATTCAGTGTTTGTAACTTCCTTCCTGTGTACGCTTCCCACACACACACACACGCAACAGTCAATGATGTGTGTGAGTGTGTGTGGAAGTAGATTATAATGTCACCACAACTATTCTTAACAAAAGTGAAAGTTTAAGTCCAATCAACAGACATACTAGAAATCATAGGGATTGTGGTAAAAAAAATGTCAACACAAGGCAGTCAATTGGCCATGTAGTTTTAAAAACTTCAATGGCATTTTCAAATCAGGCCTTGGAAAAATATTCTTTAAAAAATCCACGCCCTAGGAAGGCCTTGGAAAAATATTCTTTAAAAAATCCACGCCCTAGGAAGGCCTTGAAAAAATATTCTTTAAAAAATCCACACCCTAGGAAGGCCTTGGAAAAATATTCATTTAAAAAATCCATGCCTCACACAGGCCTTGAAAAAACATTATTTTAAAAAATCCATCTTGACAGTTCTTAAAAAAATATTCTTTTAAAAAATCCAAGCCTTAGATGATCTGGAAAAAATATTATTTTAAAAAATCCACGCCTCAACTGGCACATGAAAAAATATTCTTTAAAAAATCCCCACCTTTGGTAGGCCTTGAATAAATATTCTTTAAAAACTCCACGCCTTAGGAAGGCCTTGAAAAAATATTCTTTAAAAACTCCACGCCTTAGGAAGGCCTTGGAAAAATATTCTTTAAAAAATCCACCCCCTAGGAAGGCCTTGGAAAAATATTCTTTAAAAAATCCACGCCTTAGGAAGGCCTTGGAAAAATATTCATTTAAAAAATCCATGCCTCACACAGGCCTTGAAAAAACATTATTTTAAAAAATCCATGCCTCACACAAGACTTGAAAAAATATTCCTTAAAAAATCCACGCCTTAGGAAGGCCTTGGAAAAATATTCCTTAAAAAATCCATGCCTCACACAGGCCTTGAAAAAATATTCTTTAAAAACTCCACGCCTTAGGAAGGCCTTGAAAAATATTCTTTAAAAACTCCACGCCTTAGGAAGGCCTTGAAAAAATATTCTTTAAAAAATCCACGCCTTAGGAAGGCATTGGAAAAATATTCTTTAAAAAATCCACGCCTTAGGAAGGCCATGAAAAAATATTCTTTAAAAAATCCGCACCTTTGGTAGGCCTTGAATAAATATTCTTTAAAAACTCCACGCCTTAGGAAGGCCTTGAAAAAATATTCTTTAAAAACTCCACGCCTTAGGAAGGCCTTGAAAAAATATTCTTTAAAAATCCACGCCTTAGGAAGGCCTTGAAAAAATATTCTTTAAAAACTACACACCTTAGGAAGGCCTTGAAAAAATATTCTTTAAAAAATCCACGCCTTAGGAAGGCCTTGAAAAAATATTCTTTAAAAAATCCACGCCTCACACAGGCCTTAAAAAAATATTCTTTTAAAAATCCACGCCTCACACAGGCCTTAAAAAATATTCTTTAAAAAATCCACGCCTCTTATAGGCCTTGGAAAAATATTCTTTAAAAAATCCACGCCTTAGGAAGGCCTTGAAAAAATATTCTTTAAAAAATCCACGTCTCACACAGGCCTTAAAAAAAATCTTCTTAAAAATCCACGCCTCACACAGGCCTTAAAAAAATATTCTTTAAAAAATGCACGCCTCACACAGGCCTTGAAAAAATATTCTTTTAAAAATCCACGCTTCACACAGGCCTTGAAAAAATATTCTTTTAAAAATCCACGCATCAAAAGCCTCTAATAGGGCTTGAAAAAATATTCTTTAAAAATCCACGATTTGTTAGGCCTTGAAAAATATTCTTTAAAAAATCCACGCCTTTGGTAGGTCTTAAAAATATTTTTTTTTAAATCCACGCCACCCTGTGATGGACCTAAAAAGTATTCCTTAAAAAATCAACGCCTCTTTATTTTATGTTTTAAGTTGTCGTTCCCGACGGTGTTACGCCTATAAACTATTATTTTTTTAACTTGGCTGGTGTTGTTGTAATGATATAAACTGTTTGACAAATGTGTTTGTTGGCCTTCGTAGCGAAGAAGAAGAAAAAAAAAACAGAAAAAGTGCTGTTCCATTCGTTACATAAATGTCGTTTTTTTGCCATTGCTTTTACAGATTGTTTCGTTTAGTGTTAAATTGAGTTGAAATTTTTAAATGTTGTTAAATTTTTTGGAAACGTTTAATTAGTTTTTAGTTCATATAATTTGTTATCTAATTTTCATAGAACAATTGCCAATTATTTCCATGCTGAAGTTATTTAGTTGGTTTTTCGAAGGGCTTAAAAAGTGTTAAGGTAATGCATCCTTTTATCCCTAGGATAAATTCGCATTACCTTTTTCATTTGTTAAAAGCCTCATACATTATTTTGATTTAATATGTTTGCATTTCAAAATAGTTTTCTTTTTCGATGTGTTGCCCAGTTGCGTTGAAGGATTTCCTTACACGTTGCCCGTGAAACTAATTGGTGTCTTTTCTTCTTTCTTCCCTATTTTTTAGATCACCGCTAATTTGGATGTCTTCCTGAGACGTTTCAACGAACTGCAATATTGGATTGTCACCGAAATGGTATCCACCTCAAGCATGAGTAAACGTGTCGGTTTACTTAGAAAATTCATTAAATTGGCCGCCTAGTAAGTTGAAATTCTAAAAGGGAAAGAGAGAACAAACAAAACGAAAAAGAACAATTGGGAGAATAATGTTACGAAAAGAAATGGTAAAGGAAACACAAACTGGGAAGAGAGGAATTGAAGTTTTTAAGTTGAAGACAACGTGTATAAAACAGGATGGCGAATAGGTTTTGTAAGGATGAAAAAGTTTCTATGGACAAAAAAAGACTGTAGGCATATAGAATCTTTTACAGAAATTATAGTGATCTACAATAGATTAATAAGTCAAGAATATAATTTTGTACTTTAGCACAGATAGTATATGTTGTAGACAGTGAAGAGCTTTTATAGAAATAATAGGGAGCTTTTTTTACTCCCATAGATGTTCGATGTTTATTCTATAGGAAAGCCTTTATATAATACTCCAGCTTTTATGGAAATAATAAAGAGCTTTTATACAAATTTTTTATGTAAAAAGAAATACTTGTAAGATATTGGTGATACACTTTCTATATGAAAGCTTAATTACATATTGTGTAGAGAAAGAGCTTTAATAGGTCTATGCATATTGAGTAGAAAAACAGCTTTATTAGGTCTATATATTTCTTAAGCTCTCTATAGACACCAGTGTCTTAAAATGTCTACTATGGAAAGAAGAGCTTTTATGCACATGCAATATCTTTTTAACATTCGACCTTTATTTTATAGAAACATAATTATGAAGTCTTCCAGAGCTTTTGTAGAACCTATACAAATGGAAGATCTTTTAATAAATTTCGATATATTTTCATAGACTTTCGATGTTTATTCTAAAGAAGAGCTTTTATAGGCTATTTCAGAGCTTTATGAGTTTTAGCTTTTGTGACGTAATATACTAGTTTTACAGAACATTTAAAGAGAATTGTCATAGATTCTATAAGTACAGATGAGTTTCCAAAAGACGAATATGGATGTTATTCACTTAAAACCAGCTTTATAAGTATCTTTAAAGCTTTACATATCCTATAATGATAGAAGAACTTTCATAAGAAAATAATATACATTTTATTTACTTATTTTTGAGGATTATTTGTATACTTTTTAAAGCTTCTTATATAATTTTAATTTCTATAGATCCTATAATGATGTAAGGACTTTCATAAGCGAAAAAGCTTTCGTCAGAAAGCTTTTCCATAGAATGCATATAAAAGAAAAAGCTTTTCGATAGAATGAATAACATGTTCATATAGGCTATTTATTTGTGCATCCTCTAAAGCTTTATAAGCCTTTTAAAATTTATCTTGAAATGACAGAGCTTTTGGAGACATACATATTAAAAATCTGATGTTGCTCTACAGACTTTATAGATCTTTTATAATACTACTAATAATTCTTCAGACATCGGATTTCTATGGGTCTTATACAAATATATGAGACCTTTATAGGGAAAAGTCTGAGCTTTCAAAGCTTCCCATACATTTCTAAAACCTTCCAGCGTTTCAAATCCTATTATTCTTTTTAAGTTTTATACATTTTTAAAATTGGGTACCATAATGTGTCTCATAGAGCTTTCAAAGCTTTCGCAATTTATTTGAAAGATATAAGAGCTTGGATGGGTATTGCTGTAATAAAAAATAACAAAAAAATAGAATATTTTTTATAGATAAACCAGATTGTTTCGACCTTTAATGATTAAAAATGTATTCTATATACAGGAAAGCTTTGAACACAGTTCATGACATCGAAGCTTTTACAAATATGGCAGCCTCTATGTACTCCACTGATAACATAACTTATGTGATTTTTGTGTGAATAAATAATTCCTGGAATAGCTTTTATAATATGTGCCCTATGGAAGAAAGAGCTTTTGTAAATATTCTATAAATTATTTTTTAGGTAGCCAATGGAGTGAAGATTTTTTGTTGGGAAATTTTTTCTGTAGGCATTCTACACGTAAGAGCTTTTATACATTTTCTCTTATAAAAAAGCTTTTGTAAAATTTTTAAATGTCTTACAATATTCTTCTACAGAGCGATAAGCTTTATTGATGATCTGCAGAGAAAAATGCTTCAAAAAATGTTCTCGAATGCTTAATATGTTCCTTTATACACATGGGAGAGATTTTATAGGTTTTCTATAAAATAGAATCACCTTTATAGGTATTTTTATAAAAAAGATTTTATATAAGTGAGAATAAATGATTCAATATAGGTATTCTAAAAATAGAAGAGCTTTTATAGGTATAAGTTAATCAAAAAGAAAGGGTTTTTTAGGTGTTCATTGCCAAGACAAATGTAGAAAAGCTTAATTTTATTATCAATACAAGGATAACCTATTGATCTATTGATGATATATGAAGAAGAGCTTTAAAGGTCAACTAAGCACTTATGTACTTTTCTAGATCATTTATTGAAGAGAATTTTAGAGTGTTTTACTTATAGAAGAGCTTTTATAAGTTTACTATAGAATAGCATATAAAACTTATAAAAGTGTTTTTTTTATAATTTTCCTGTATTTTTTTTTTTTTTTTTTTTTTTTTTTTGACACATATAAGAGCTTTTAGAGATAGTGCATGTATAAATAAGACTTTCTAGGTGCAATAAACGTGGAATGACTTTTCAAAGTGTTTTGGAATATAAGACGTTTTTTATAAATTGCCTTTTAAAAACAATTGTATAGGTATTCAAAATTCCTCTCTTCTCCCAAAATATCTTGCCATTTACTCACATTATTCTCCACAACAAGAAGGATCTAACAATACCACCACACATCCACTTCGTCCCTGTCTCTCTCTGCTATTTCTTCCACATATCTGTTGTTGTTGTGTTAATTGTTATTAAAAAAATAATACCAATTCAAAATTCCAATTTTTTTCATAACCTACCATTTCAGTTGCAAAGAATATCAAAATTTAAATGCATTCTTTGCCATTGTTATGGGCCTATCGAATATGGCCGTGTCACGGCTGCAACAGACCTGGGAGAAAATCCCTTCGAAATTTCGTAAACTTTATCAAGAATTTGAGGCTTTAATTGATCCTAGTCGTAATCATCGGGCGTATCGGGTATTTGTTGGAAAGCTACAACCGCCACTAATACCCTTTATGCCGCTACTGCTCAAGGATATGACATTTGCTCATGAGGGTAATAAGACGAGCATTGATGGTCTGGTGAATTTCGAAAAGATGCATATGATGGCTCAAACGATGAGGACGCTAAGATTTTGCCGATCAAGGAGTTTGGGTAAGAAAAACGAATTTTAATGTTTGATTTAAATTTTAATATTTTGTTATTTATTTTAAATACAGGTTTGGATCCCCCCTCACCCAAGAGTGAAGGTGAGGTCCGCTCCTTTATTAGCTGTCTGCGTGTAATTGACAATCAACGAGTCCTTACGGCAATGTCCCAGAAAATCGAACCAAGTCGTAAAATCTAAATTTCGAATATTAGAAAAAAAAAACTAAAATCCAAAATTCTGTATATTGTTTTACATCTTCTTTTTTCTTCAATAGAAATGTAGTTCATGTTAAAGAGTTGTAGAATTGATTTTCCACCCCGCCCTCAGTTCCCTTAAATGGTAAAACAATAATTGATATATATTTTTTGTTATATAAATATATATAAAAAGTGTGTTTAAAAAAAGTCATTTTGTATTTAAAACAAAAGAAATAATTTGTATTTAGAATTTTTAGAAAAAAAGTAGATTTAAAAAAAATTAAATTAAAAAAGTGTTTGTAAAAATTTAAGCATTAAAAAAAGTATTTTAAAATATTATATATGTGATAATAATACAAAATAATTATAATAATAATAATTTAAATTAAATAGTATTTCTCTCTCCCTCTCTTATTTATAAATCGTATTTGTAACCTAACATCTGATGAGAGCAGGAGTGGAAAATCAGAAGAAATTAAATCAGAATTATAAAAATAAATTAGAATTCGGGTATATTTTGAATCTTTAGATGGATTCTCAATAAAAACGTATGTTTATTTTAACTATAAAAATCCTTCAAAATGTAAACTGATTTTCCATAACTGTTCTCTATCTAAATCTCTCTCTCACAACTCAATTCATTCCCTCACTCTCTCGCTTAATAATTTTATTTTTTAATTTTTTTTCAATTTTTCTTAATTTTTTTAATACATATTTTTTCTAATTTTTTATTATTTTTATATAACCCATATTGTTTTCCCATATTTATTTTCATATAACCCATATTGTCCTCTCTTTTTCTCCTTCCTTTCCTTCCCTTTTATACACTATTCTCCTAGTTCTTAAACTAACCTATCTACCTTTTTCCACTATGTGCCCTTTACAAAACCTTCCCTTTTGTAAAAAAAGGAAATGTAAATATGAATCTAAAACTTTAAAGACATAAAAAATGTGTTATAAAAAATAATTAAATAGAAATTATATATTTTTCTAAGCTCTTTACAATTACAAAAATAAAAACTAAGTAAAAGAATTAATATAGCAAAATAATAATGTTTGTAATTTAAATTCAAATTTTTAAATGTAAAATTTAGTTCTAAATTTCTTGTATAAAAATTGTATAATTTCAAAGATTTTTTTTACGAAAATTGTATGTATTTTTAGAAAAAAAAAAATATATTGAACCTTCATTGCACATACATACGTATATAGTTATAATTTGTTTTATTATTATAATTTTTTTAAATTTTTTATTTTGTAAAAAAAAAATATTTTATTCGAAAATATTTTTTTAATTTAAATATATAGACTATTTTATTAGCCTTAATATTTTTTTTAAATTTTTTATTGTTATTTTTATTTATATTAATTAAAAAATATATTAAATAAATATTTAATTAAAATATTATTTTTGGTATTTTTTGTTGTTAATTTGCATTCAATTCCTTAAATTTTATATTAACATTGAAACCTCAACAAAGTTTGTGATCTATATATAGAGGTGCCACAGAAGGAACCCAAACTGTTTTTGACCCTTTTTACTGTTAGCCGCCATGAGGTGAGAATTCATTCTATATTATAGATCAGTCTGGACCCTTAGATATAAACTTTCTAAAGGCTTAATCCCAGACAACATTTTTATTAGATACAAAAAAATAAATTTGATTTTAATTAGTCTGAATATTAATATAGGCTACTATCAAAATCCCAAAACATTTCTTGTATATACCCAAAGTGGTGTATCATATATAGTCGATCCTTTCCAACTTTTCTCCTTTCTTTATGGGGATTTCTCCAGAATTGTCTTAGACTGGCTGTCATTTTATCCAACAGCTCTATTAATTTTTCTTTATTATAGAAATGGTAAATTAAACAGTTAAATCGAATTCAAAAGGGACAATTTACACACGTGTACTTCAGAATAATTTTTCATATAAAATTCTGCATATTTGGAAATAGCCAGACTTCTAAGCTTTCATATGACACCAATTTTATTGCAATATCACCAGCAGTTCTAAAGTTATGCGACAAATAGCTTTTCGCTGTCGCAATTACCTACTACATCAATAGATGGCGTTGTAGCCGCCATGTTGATAGGTAGCCACGGAACATCAAAACTATTTTAAAGTTAAAATGACTTTTGAACGAATTGTGATTTTTGGAAGATTAAAACGGTTATAAGTAGCTTAGAATTCAATGATTATCTGTAGATTAAAATACATTTAAAATTCCAAGCACAATTTGGTACATTTTGCTAAAAAAAATAATGTCAAGAATTATCAGAAAACTTTCTATGAAATTTTCTCCGGCAAACTAAACTTACGTCGAAAGAGAACTTTTAAAACTTTATATAATCGTTGGATTTTTTTAAATATCTGCATCCGTTTAAAATTTTTTGAATTTTACTAATAACTTTATATTCCTTTACGGCATGTTAATTTGGCGACTGGGACGCCATCTATTGCAGTAGGTGGAAATGGCGAAAACGAAAAAACTAAAGTTTTATTCAATCTTCTATAACTTTTTAAATACTTGGAGTATCGAAATAAAATTGGTATCATATGAAAGGTAAGAATTGCAGCTATATCGATATCTGTTCATAAATGTATAAATATGTAATCTTATGTACGAAAATTTGTTTTAATATATATTTTTGTTTTTATTTGTATAAAAAATATATTGTTTTAAAATTAAAATAAAATTGTTCGATACTATAATAAAGACACGATTTTGCCCTTTAATATGACAGGGCATTTGATTAAAAAATTACAGATAATAGAAGACTATTTTAAAGAAAAAAATATATTGGTGTTATGGATCATTTATTTCAACAGAAAAAATACTTCAGACAAGTAAAAAATACTTCAGACAAGTAAAAAAATCGACTCCAAATTGTCTGAAATGGTCCAGACACATGAAGTCTAAAACCAAATATTCGATGAAACACATTTTAACCGTAGCAACAAAGGGTATATACTCTCATAAGTCAAAAGGCAGAGGGTATGGAAATTCTGTTGCTGTATATGAGATTAAATTTTAGAGAATAGTTTCTTTTTCATTTTTTATTACCATGTCAACTCTGGTAAACTCCTAAAAATATCTCTTTGATTTCTATATGTATCGTTACGCGTTTAAAATATACGAAGGATATCAGAAAATTCCGCTTTTCTGTTAACATGGCAACTCTGAGAAACGTTCTTCAATATGTATGATCTATGCTATTAAAATCCATTTGAATTATTTCAATATTTACAACGAATCTAAGATTTAAGCGATTTTCTGTAAACATGGCAGCACTGGGAAGCACTTGTCCTCAGCGCCATCTATTGCATGGGTAGATTCAAAAATCGATTATGCAAAATTTAAATATCCTTTCTTTTTGCCATAATTTTTTTCATACTACAGATTTTTAAATGAAAGTGGTGTCGTATGAATGGTATAATCGTACACCTACTTTCATTTGACAACAGTTTGTAATGCTTAAAAGACTAATAAGTCTTATTTTGAATCATGCCCATCAATAGATGGCGCTGACGACGATATCCTTATGAATAGACATAGCCAATTTCTTTTCGCCATAACTTTTTTCGTATTGCAAACGTTACGATGAAAGTGGTGTCGTATTATTGTGTATTAAATAAATTGTAAAATATCCATATCATATACAACAATAGATGGCACCGATGACGGGATTTATATCATAAGATCTGTATAATCGTATACTTTCTTGTGAAATAATTAGAATTTCAAAATTATTATTTATTTATATTCCGCTTTTCTGTTAGCATGACAACTCTGACATACATTCTTCAATACGGTAAAATAGTGAATGTAATGTAAACTATTTACACTTTCATATGACATGCCCATCAATAGATGGCGCTGACGACGCGATCTTAAAATATGCATACCTCAATTCTTTTCGTCATAACTTTTTTCGTATTGCAGATATTACGATGAAAGTGGCGTCGCATTAAAGGTACAATTGTATAATTTATTATGAATTAAATAAATTTTAAAATTTCTATACCATGTCCATTAATAGATGGCGCTGACGACGGGTTATGTAAGCATACCACATTTGTTTTTGCTATAACTTTTTACGTATTGCTGGCATTGTAATGCAATTGGTGTCATATGGAAGGTATAATCATATACTTTTTTGTGAAATAAATAGAATTTCAAAATTATTTAAATATTGATATATCATATGGAGTTTAAATTATAGTTATAGAAATCGAGTATTCAAAAGTCCGCTTTCATAAGTCACTTCATAAGTCCACTTCAAATTGTCTAAAACGGATTTGGTCCAAGGAAACGTGGGATCTTAAACCAAAATTTCGATAAGGCACATTTTTGCCGTAACACCTAATTATCCACAAGGCTGAGGATATAAAAAAACAGTCAGCTTTGTTGGCTCCAGTCCGTAGATTTCGATTCTAAAGAACTGTAGAATATACATTTATTTTTAAATTATTATAATATTTTTAGTATACACTACAAAATTGATTGAAATTATCAAATATTTCTTTATAGTTTTTAGAGAATTTTATTTATAAATTTTTTTAATACAATTTTAAATTATGATTTTTTTATATAAAACTATATGATTTATTTTTTATATTTTATTTATTTATTATATTTCATATTTCGTACCCTGTATTTCAATATTACACTTTGTGATGTGTTTTAATAATTTTCCTTAAAATATATAAATAAATGTTTTTTTTTCTATTTTATATTAATTTGTTTTTATATGTGTACATGTAGGTGATATATATTTAGAGAAAAAAATAATTAAAATTAAAGTTTTATAGCATTACATTAAAAAAAACATTTACAAAACCAAACACAAAATCTGGAGAGGGACCTTTGTTAATTGTTAACAAACAAAAACAAATAAAATAATAAAATGCAAATTTGAAATGCAATGCAATAATATAAAAAAATATATTTGAACGAATAAATGTATTTTATTAGAAAAAATAATTATAACAACAA